GAGAGAGAGAGAGAGAGAGAGAGAGAAGGGGATGGAGTCTCTAGAAATGGACTGTGATCTATATATATATAAATACAATATCTAAACCAGTTGGAAAAACATTTTGACTTTTGAGAGTGGAAGTCAACCCTTGTAAAAAACAAATCAACTAACATTTCAACAACACACAACCAAACAAACAAACAAAAACTCACAAAACAAACCAATTTTTAAATTCAAGTTACTGCTTTACATTCTGACATTCTCACAGAAATTGTAAGCATTGCTCTCGTCTCTACAGTTATGTCGGAGCTACGTGGACTGCTCCCGACACCGACTATGATATTATGATGTAATAAAAGTTTGATTTTCCAGCACATCTGATTTAGCCAACGCTCTTGTCGCCACAGTCTATTGAATACTCAGTATCATTGTTTCACGACGTGGTGGAATCAGGCGCTCGTCAATTTTTGGCCAGAAGGGGTTATTGGTATCATCTTAAAGCCTGTTCGTTTGTATTCCTAACGAAAAAAATACCCATCTATGTTGAATAGAAGTCGAAACATTTGCAATTGAAGGAGGTCAGGGTCTCCTGGTTTCAGAGGTAAAATTAGCGAGAAAATGGCCGCCAAAGTTTGGTAACTTCCACAGCCTGAGAGTCCTTGGAAACTGGAAATTTACATTTTTTGTGTCTTTAAACAATGGTTATCAGTGAAATCCACACCGGAATGTGTTTTTTAATGGACATAAAAGGTGGTTCCCCCCCCCCCCAAATGCCGATTTCTTTAGTTTCATTCTTTTTGACGAGTGCCTGATTTCACCACGATGCCTTATATATAGGCGTTTGAATTTTTTAAATTTCTCCCTACATAAAGTTTGGCACATACTCGAAAATGTCTTGGACAACAATTAAGAAATGGACGATACAAATTCTTTACATCAGAGCAGAAAACAAATAAAATGATAACATAGTATGTAAGTTAAGGCCTAACATAAGCAGATAAATTTGACAGTCAAATATGAAGGACTGCAGTGGAAAAACTACGAAATACAGATTTTTAGTGTAAAGGGTTGCAGCATAACTGTAATAATATAATATTAGTCCCCTGTACATTGATCTTTCGGCACACAACTCATTGAGTTTTACTCACACAAAATGTTCCCTTTCCTTTCTCTAAATTTGACACTGTCCTAAACAAAAATTTTCGATAGTGAAATGTTATGACGTATGGAGTATTAAACGAAAGAATGTAAAATACGATAATAATGAAAGATGTAGATGACAGTAACAATTTACAATATATTCATTTTTCGATTATACAAGAGTTGGACTTTGAAATATATAAGAAGCAATAGGATGATTATAAACATGTAATACATTTATAGAAAATCTACACGTTATAACGACGTGACGACACAATGCAGAAGAAAAGTATAATGTCAAATTGGCTACTGTCTTATGCAACATGATTGAAAGGTTAAAGACATCGCACACGAATGAAACGAGAAATTGAAAAAAACAAACAACAACACTGTACATAGAGCAATCAATACAGAATGAAGATCATAACAAACTTCTTAGAGAGTTTACAAACGTATCATTTATCACATCACAATGCAACCCATGTTCCCGGCTTTGCTCAACGGTCGAAAAATAATTTGAAAAAAACCCCCCAACAAACTTTTCTTAACACATCGCTTACATCTTTAATATGAGGTGGCACCAAAAAATCCAAACAAACCATGAAACATTTTGGGAATACACAGATTTTGTACTGGGATCCAGACTAAAACATGTTGATTAAAACCCCCCACCAAAATAGTAAATACAACATTATATTCCCATTTTGTGTTTCCGCACCATTTACAATAGCTTGTTGAAGTTATTGTCAAACCTCTGGCTTATACGTTAGCTGATCTTGTATGATAAGAGGCTTGCTTTCCGAAAAAGAATAGTTATGTGAGGATCTCTCTCTCTCTCTCTCTCTCTCTCTCTCTCTCTCTCTCTCTC